TGAGAAATTCTCCATGGGAGGAAGCCTTAGAATCTTCCATGCATTTTCTAAAAGCAGAAGCTAGAAAAGTGGGGTTTCAAGGAGCTATTGAGCCCACAAGAGGCGAGAAGACTGAAGTCGGGTGGGAGAAGGAGAGAAGGTGCTGGAGAGAGGGATTTCACAGAGGGCGCTGGCGCTGCCAGTGTCCGACAGACTTGGTGGAGGGACCTCAGAGGACAGGTGCACGCTGGGGAGAGACAGTGTGGAGGGTGGCTAGGGGCAAGTTGTTCTGAGGAGCCGGTCTGTCTGGGCATGGATGCTGGCCCTGTCACTGGGTGAGGGACCCTGGACATGTCACTTACTCTCCAGGTCTGTGAGTGTGTGTGTGTGTGTGTGTGTGTGTGTGTGTGTTAACTTTATAAAAACACCTTGGTTCACTTCAAATGTCCAGATAAATCAAGACGGCATACAGACAGTTCAAGAAATAATATCCAAAGAAATATGTTACCTTTGAGCCCCATCATTGTGTTTCAAGTCTTGTAAAATATTTTCTTTAAATCTGGAACTCCCTGGGGAGAGGATGTAACTCTGACTTTCTGAAGCACATTCAGATATCCTTCATGTTTAGGACACTGATGTGCTTTGGATGTGAGGTAGATTTAGTATTTTCACCTAACTTAACACTTTCAGTGCTGGCCTCATGACTTGGATGAGAGTGCCTTTTAAAACATTTAATAAAGTGTTTACTTTGCAAATTGCTGTAACAATGCTTATGTGAAATTCTAATTCTAGTACAGTTTAACATTGAAAAACATTTAAGCTCCATTCACAATAGTGGCAAAATTATAAAAAGATGAGATACACTTAAATTATAGTAAGGTTATAAGTAAAGATAAGGAAGCAGCTTTAGTAGCAGATAATTTTACAATGTCATTCATTAAATAAACTTTTCTCTTTCCCCTGAATTGCAAAGTTAATTAATCATATGTTAATGATGTTTATCATCACTTCTAATTAGCATTCTATGGAAGTTCTCAGCTAGTGAAATAAAGGAAGAATTTTAAAAAGATACAGGTATGAGAATGGAAGAAATAAAACTGTCATTATTCATGGAAAATCCAAAGTAGTTTTCAAGTAAGCTCTTTGGGTGAATAAGTAAGTTTGATAAAGTTGCTATATATTAGATCATTGCAAATACGTTTTATTTCTATACTGTAGAAGCAACAGTTAGTGAAATGTTTCTAAAGCTATCATTTATAGTAGTATCAAAAAATTGACATAGACATATGATGAACTTAAATTAGCAAGACCAACTAGAAAAAGAGCAAAGCTGATGAACTCGCCATCTAATGTTATTAAGTAGCTACAAAAACAGAAGGAAACTAGGATGAGTATAGATAAATAGAGGTCCAGATGAATTGAAAGATATAGATGGTCTCTATTCGAAAAATAGATAAGTTGAATAGAGAATCCAGAAAGAGACCCGTACATATACAGCTCCATGACTGATCACAAAGGTGACCCTTCAGTCCAGCGAGGAAGGGACAATCTTTTCAGTAAATGAGTCTGGCTGACTGGATATCTATGAGGTAAAGGACAGAATTGGATCCTTACCTTATTAGAACATACAAAATCTGTTCCAAATTGATTGCAGAAACACATGTGGAAGATGAATTTCCAGAGGAAATGGTAAAGGATCATCTTTGTCACTTTGATGGAAGCAAAGCTTGATCAAGGGTACCCACTTAAGAAATTACCAGTCACGAAAGAAAGACTGTAAATTGAACTGTGTTTAAAGTATCATTAAGTAGATGAACTAGGAAGCCCCAGACTGGGATCAGATATTTATATATACTCAAGAAAGGACTGATTTCTAGAATATTTTAAGAATTCTTCTATCTACAGAAGAGAAAAAGACAACTACATATAAATTGGACAAAAGACCTACACTTCCATAAAGAAAGACATATCATAAGTATAATGTTATTAGTTATCAGGCATATGACGTTATAAATATAAAAAGTTATCTCTGCACCTGAAAAACATAGCAATATGACCAAAATCTTAAATAAAAATGATCACAGTTTGTGTGGCTATGGTATAACTGGAGCTTTTATATATTGCCAGTGGGGAATGTGAATTAGAAAACTGGTAGAATTGGCTTAATGATAAATACATGCATACCTAATGGCTTAGCTTGTCCCACTTTTGTATTTTTGATTTGATGATGATTATATGAATGTGTTCATTTAAAAATATATAAATTATCACCTGGCACACTTATAGTTTCTCCACTTTTTGTCTATGTGTTATAACTCAATCAGAAATTCACATTAAAACTTGTGATAGCAATAGGAAAATATAGACTATGACGTTTTAGCCTGAACAAATACATGGAATTCAAGGCATTGACTTGTCTAACAAAGGGTGTACATACCCGGGGTGTCTATAAAGGTGAGTGTAATAACACAAGAGAAGGTCCTGACATTTTAGAGAAATTTGTGTTCTTCTGAGGACAAATACAATTAGTAACTCTGAGCGACAGTCTCATTTATTTTTTCTTCCTGATGTGACACTTTCACTTGTGGCCTCCATAAATAAACTGACCAATTAATTTTCACCCTGTGACAAATGGCTGCTTCTTTATGGAAGTTTAATGACAAGGATCAGAAACCAAAATGCTTTATCTGTATCTTGTATGTGAATTATGTCTTAGCTGGGGATGGTGGTGCACGCCTGTAATCCCAGCACTCAGGAGGCTGAGGTAGGAGAATCACTGTGAGTTCGAGGCCAGCCTGGACTACGTAGTGAGATGCTGTCTCAAAAACAAAAAACCAGAAAAACAAATGCCCTCCCAAACAAAAGTTATGTCTTAAAGATAACTCTAATGTTAAGTAAAACTAACTTGGCTACTTTGTTTTCTTAAAAAATTTATTCCTATGTCTAACATGGAAAGGATTTTGGAATAAAAGAGATACAGTACAAAATCAAATACACATACCATTTAGCAATTATTTTCTTGTATACTACTTTAAAAACCATCTGCTAAAGGTTGTTAAATTGGGTATGAGATGTTTTATCATTATGAAACAGATTAAATGCTCAGTACTGTTAAACAGCAATGAGAGGGGCTGGGGATTTAGCTCAGCAGCAAAAGCGCCTGCCTGGCAAGCGCAAGGTCATGAGTTCAGTTCCCGGTACCAGAGAAAAACCAAAAAAAAAAAAAAAAAAAAAAAAAAAAAAACCAAAAAAAACCCCAGCAATGACATGTAATTCAAATAATGATGGTAAATATATATAGTTTCAACATATGAATAAAGCAATTAGTATTAGGTTGTCAGAATTTTCTGAATAAAATGGTAATGAAATACCAAGCCAACAACAATAAAGGTTCGTAACATTTTATAATGTTATACTTTGGGTTTGGGGAAGCTCTCATTTATTTCTGGTTGAAATGTTGATTGCCACAACCTATTTGGAAAGTAATTTTGGCAAGAAATGTTAAAAGGGGAGAGGTAATCATCCTTTGACTAAACAAAACAATTTTAGGGAGTCAACAGTACAGAAATTCGAAGTACCCATAGCTGAGGGTATAAGCATATATGTAAAAAAAGTAGAAACAACCTCTATGAAGGATGATTGAATACATCACGAGGTGGCTGGCCGAAGAACTATTATATAGCCATTCATAAGGATGTGTTGAAAATGATGATAGTATGTAACATTTACCGAGTAGTCCTTGTGTGCTAGCCATCGTTCTAAGTGTTTTATTTGTATAAATCCATTCAACTTTGTAATGATAATATCTTAGCGTATTCTCATTTCTGTTTTATGGATGATGAAATTAACATTGAAACAGATCAAATGCTTTGCCCCTTCACAGAGCTGGTATTTGTGAGGTCTCAATTTGAAACAGGCGGTCTTGCTCTAGATCATACGCTCTTAAATTCCATGTAGTTGTTCTATGTCCTTGAATTAATTAAGGAGGGAGTGCTCATACATATTTTAATTGAATAAGCAAATAATGGAAATGTGGTTATTCCGTTTAAAAAAGAAAAACAAAAGCCATATGGAAGAATATTCCCCAAGCCAGAAACACTGATTACATCAGGATTGATCAAGGAAGGAGGATGTTACTAATGTTTAAATTTTTACTTCTTTATTGTTTGAAGTACTGGCAAGCATTGAAATACTTTTTTTAATCTAATAAAATGAAAATTTAACAAAATCCGGCCTCCACTCCTGGGTTCATTATATTTTCTTGAGAATAAAAGGAATAGACGGTTCATTTAATAAATAGACAAGAAATGAATAAAACTTGTCTGCTAGTTTCGTACCGGGCTTCAGACCCACAGCTTTGTTTCACTGTGGTCTTCTACACTGCGTTTGCTCATTTATTGTCAGAAATATTTATCTAGATCGGCTTAAAGTGGGTCCCAGTAAACATTCATTTCCTTCCCATCATTTTCGTTCTTTCTCCTTTATTCTTTCTTAGGTCAAATCACCAATGCTAGGAGCACAAAATCAGTCTTTCTTTTCCATTTTCAGCTTGCTGATAGTGACTTCGGCTGTACTAAACCTCAGGCGTGGTAGCTCGGTGCCTCCTTTAGATGGGGATTCCTCACTGTCATTTGGGCCCGCTTTCCTCTTGGCTGTCACAGCTTATGCGCAAAAGGAGGGAGGGAGAGGATTTGTCACCTGGCCAGTCTGTTATAAAGGAAAGCATTTGAGTGGAATACGCCCCCTTTGTCCTATGCTCAGAGCCATGCACCAAGATTATAGAAATAAAATAGTCCACAGATTTAGAAGTAATTGATAGGCTAATGCGTAAATAGTAATAGGGTGTAGAGTGATATATGTGACACTTTAGCACTATAGAGTTATGAAACTTTGCCACTTACATTAGGCACAAAAGGTAACTACCTTTATATGAAGCCATTACATGTAATTTGTATTTAGATACCTTCGAATTTTACTTCATTGAACAACTTGAAGCAATACTTTCACGTTTTTGGTTTCAGGTCCCATTTGATATCTCGCTGCCTGCTATATTTAGTCTTGAGAGACTTTTTGATCTTGCTAATGGTTGTACCGTATCAGGAGGAAGCCTTTTCAACTGGATGGTGTCGATTATTCCTTGAACATCCTTTTCATGGTAACCTTGCAAAGGATTTAATTGTTACTGTTTCTCTTAGCTTGAAATAAATTTCTGGAACTGTGCTCTTAGAACTACCAGAATGAAATTAATTTTTTATAGAAGGTAAATTTCTTTAAGAATTGTAGTTTCAAGGGGTGTTTTAAGTTGTAGTTGAATTAAATAGCAATGCTGTTGCTTCTTAAAACTGTATTACCAAGCTATTCATAGAAAATAGGTTTCTGAAGTATGACTCTCCTACTGTTAGTTTATATTAGATTGTCTCTAGAAATGTTTATACAGAAAGATTGGATTGCACCAGTGGTTCTCAACTGGAAGCAGTTTCCGCTTAGATGACATCTGACAACGCCTGGAGACACTTTTGGTTGTCATAATGGGGTGGGGGGTACATGGTAATATCTAGTAAGTAGAGGCCACAGGTGCTGCTAGACACTCTACAAAGTACAAGTCGGCCCACCAGCTACAACCAAAGATGATCCAGCCCCAAATGTCAGCTGTGCCAGTTTGGAGAAACCCTGGATTAAACCTTAATGTGTGGAAAATCCAACTCTGGGAGCTTGTCTGTTTGGCTTGGGATGTAATCTGTAGCAAATTAGACCTTCTATATTTTATATTTCTGAGAGGTAACATTGCACACGATTATATTGCCTGAGGTCTGGAATTATATAGACCTGGATGTGAGTAGTAGCTTCACCACTTGCTAGCTTTGCTACTTTAAAGAGTTAAATTATGAAGTCTTTGTTTCTTCATATATAGTATGAGGATGTTACTATCTGTCTTATAAGAGTGCTATGTATTGAATAAAGTGAATCAGTGTGACAAAGTGCTTAGCATATGCATAATAGAGCAATACTGCTGGGAGAACCACCTCCCTGCCAAGGTAGAAGAGAACCATGCATCTCTCACTTTGGTTGTATGGCATGCAACAATGCCACCCGTGAATATTTCCCGGGTGCTGGCCCTTGAAAAGATACGATGATAAATAAATATAATAAATGTGATTTTCCAAAGCCTAGTGACTCAATACATCCCCCTTTATTCTCAGATTATGAATTTCTTACTTCCTAATGGTGTAAAAGGCCATTCTTTTACCAAGCATGTTAATAGTAACTGATAACTGACATTTTAAACTAGTCTCCAGTGATAATAAAAGAAAAAATAGAAATCTTATGTTGGTCCCTAATTTTTAAAAATTTAGGTATCTGTAAAGTTTCAAAGTCCAGGAATGCCCAAACTAGAACTAGCCTGTAATACTACATGGAGGAAATGTATCTTTGGCAAGGTATTTAAGGATAAGAAAGTTTTTACTGGTTGAAAATTCATTATTAAAATTTGCTAGCAGCAAGGATACTGTAGGAGAACAAGGACATAAAAATGAGAATGCACAAGGTGTATGTGCTAAGAACTTGGGTCTGGAATGTATATCTTTGTGCCAAAGGGAGAGCAGTCTCAGGGTGAACTACAGAGAAGACTTGGGGCCAAGTCAGTAGATGTTAGGGTGCAATTGCAGATGATTAGGTTTCTGGCATGAGTAGGTATTAGATGTGTGAAAGGAATCAGTGGAATGAGTTTGAGCTGGTCTGTAGGGCAGAGAATGGATGGGAAAGAAATGAAAAGCAAGCAAACCTATACCATGTTGTAATGCAAGAGATATCAACAAAATGTTTACTGGTTAAGTGGAACGATGAAATAAATTTTGGTTCAAACAGAAAAGCCAGTTGGATGGTAATGACGCCTGTGGTGAAGGTTTCCAGGTCCTTTGATCTGGAACCAGGGTTTATGAATACCACCACCAAAATAGAGAACTCTTTTTTTTTTTTTTGTTTTTTTTTTTTGGTTTTTCTCCGGTACCAGGAACCGAACTCACGACCTTGCGCTTGCCAGGCAGGCGCTTTGCCGCTGAGCTAAATCCCCAGCCCCTAGAGAACTCTTTGATGCCTTGTGTTTCTCAGTAGAAGAAGTTCAATTTATTATGTTTAATCATTAGGACAAAAAGGTGCAGTATATTACCTATACATTTAAATGCTGGTATAGAAATATAACATGACCAACAATCAAGACCACTTATTCCATCTTGTTAATTTTCAAAAATATGTGTACCCATAGCCCACTGTTTATCACTATTAAGTTCAGGTTGGATGCTTTTCATCTTTCCTTATTTTAAATATTAGTGTGTGTGAACTGTTCAGTTCAGCCCTACGATGCTACCTGGCACATGGCAGAGGTCTATAGCATTCCTACTTGTTGAGTGAATACAAGGAAATATGAATGGGTGGAGGGGACCTAGGCAGGACTGCATTGTGAAGCCTCAAAAAAGAGGGAAGAGGGAGGCACACGTGTTGCCAACGCCTCCACCATCATTGCATTACCGAAGATGCCTACCCCTCCCATGCCATCTTCATATAAAGCAGTACATTAGTAAGCACTTTACATGTACTGTCGCCCTGTCTTCACAAGAATTATGACCGTCAGGCACACTGCATCATGGCTCCATGTTACACAGCTGGAAACAAGCAGTTATACCACTTCCCCTCTGATTATAGTCCGAAGTAGAGCTGGGATGTAAAACCTGATTGAGAAATCTGAGCTCTTCCTTGCTAAACTGACTTCCTAGCTCTTGCACCCACTCCATGGCTGTGGGAAATCCGTGAATCAAGTGAGAGACTAAGACATAGTTGAGGCTCAAGCTAGAACTGGAACATCTGTGATTTTTTGAGGCAATGACCTGCAGGCCTGAGTGGATGTGCTAGGAAAACCGGGTGGTGAAGGGCCAGAATAATGATCCCCCCGGGGGAGGCAGGCCTCTTCCCAATACTGCAGACAACGTAACATTTTGGTACATGTTTTATTTTTTTCTCCACTTTCATATATTTACAGATGCTGTTATTTTGGGTGTTGCGTTGTCTGAGTGAAACACTCTTTAAAGTTTCACCAGACCCTGAAGTTACAGTTTTCCCATTTTTAAAAAACCATCCTAGAAACTCCCCAGCTCTTCTAAAATAGAAGCAACACTTGCCACTTAAAGCTGGAGCTTCCCATGCCAGGCAGTGAGGAAGTGAGGATGAACTGGGCCGCAGTAAAACCAAAAAGACATTTCAGATCTGCCAGGTGAAAGGTGTGTTTATTTCCAGAAATGTCTGTCGGGTTTTTTAAAAGACCGTATTATACATTTGCAGCTGCTTTTAAAAACTGCAGTACACAGTACTTACATGCAAATGTTTTCCAGTGGACACCTGTGAGGTTTTCTACTGGTTTAAGTTATAACAGAGTAGGATGGGAGGCAAACTGAAAAGGGGAGAAGGGAGGAAGCAAAACAGCGGAGACAGGGGAACGAGTGCCACAGCTAAGCGCTAATAACAAGCCCGTCCGCTTCCCATGTCGTGCTCCTTCTCAGTCTCCAAGAGCTTGTGTTAGAAACTGACCACCTGCCGGCTATCCCCGAGGCTTAACTGCCGTGGTCTGTGTTCCCTGCGCACAGGGCACTTTGCATGTTCCCCCGCCCAGTGCGCTTGCTCTCCTTCATGAGCTGCAGGGGAAATAGGACATTTCTGGGGGAGTGTAAGAGGATGGCTTCCCCCTTTTGTCTGCATTGCCCTTATTTCCATTTTTCTGGATATCGTTGTGTCGATCCCCCCCAGTTCAAGGATGTCTGCTTTGCTGGGCTCCTAGAGCACTTAGGCAAGAGCTGTTCAACTGGCTGCTAAAGGTGCCCTATGCCACATAGCCGCACTGTTACACTTTCATAGCAAATCTTCTAACCATAGCTCTAGAGTCATAAGCGTGTGAGTCTGTCCCATATCCCTTTGCTTTGAATTGTATTTGAGACTCGGTAAATCGTTTCTCCTCATTTATCTTGGAATTTAGAGTGTTCATAAACCCTAGAAACTTAAGCAAAGTACACATGATGTCATCAAGGTTGTTTTCAAACCATAATATATATATTTATATTATCAAAGTGTGCATACTTCCAACTGTGAATGAGGAGAGAAAATAATGCAGAAATCCACTGTGTAGCTACTTTTTTCCATTTTCTCAGATTTAAAATGCTTGTTGGTATATCACACCAAAAAACTTGCACTCGTTTGCCCAAGGAAACTTGGGCAAAAATGTGTATTGATGCATTGATTATAATACAAAAAAAAGGAAGACTTACTAGATACCCATCAGGTAGAAATGGATAAGTAAAAAATGATGTAGTCATACAGGAGAATACACAGAAGTAATAAACCAATGCATAGTAGAATACTAAACAACGTTCTGAAATGAATTAAAGAGACATGTATCCATCTGGATTCACTTCAAAAACTGATGAGGAAAAGAAGAAAATTAGGTATTACAAAAGGACATACATATACAGGAAGATGGGATTTATATAAAATTTAAAAGTTAGCGAATTGATATAACATAATATTTACAGATGCATATGTATTATACTAAAAATATTTTAAAAGTACAAGTTGATGATTCAACCAAATTCTGGTTGTGACACCTCTTGGCTGAGGAAGGAGAAATGAACTCTTAAAAAGATGCCTAAGAGGTTTCATTTGTATTTGCAAAATTTTCTTTCTTAATCTGGATATATATTATGTGGGTCTCTACTGGTTAACAAATTAAAAAAAGACATCCCCTACCTTCTTCATCCTGTGGCTGGCAAGCTTTCTACAGACATTGTTTCACCCATCAGTAAACGACTCTTACCTGTGTAGTGGTTCACATCTGGTTTTATTAATTTGGGTTTTAATGACAACTAAAAATCATTTTGAAACTGGTGCTAAACCATATACATATGCCCAATTTTAGAAAAGTCAATCTGTGAAAGCATTAATTTTTAATATAAGATAGTAGAGCCTTAATAAATGTTTAATTAAATCGAGGCAGATTTCCCTGTGCAATTGCTATCAATTTTAAGTTTCCTCATTATACTTTAAATTATTTGATTTGCCAAAATTAGATATATGCAGAACTTTTTACATGATTGCCTGTTATGTGAAATGAGGCCC